CCGACGAGCTGCACCGCCGCGCCGCCCGGGGCGACGAGGTAGAGGTAGTCCGTCCAGGAGTCGGACGACGACGCGTAATCCGTAAACAGCACGTGCGGCGTCTCCGCGGCGCGCGCGTTCTCCAGGAAGCCGTCGAGCACGTTGGACCGGCCGAGGCGGTGGCCGATGTGGCCGTCCATCCACTGGTCGAAGCCGCTCGTCTCCGAGACCAGCGCCGCCGCGTGCGCCGCGATCCGCGCGTCTTCGAGCGCACCGACGTCCCAGTCCGGCGAGCCGTGGGCGATGTAGTGGACCTCCACGGCGCGCGTCGGCGCGTCCGACGGGAAGCGCAGCATGGCGACGCGCGAGCCGCCGACCGCGCGGTCCAGCGCCGTCTCCGCGCCGAGGACGTCCCGGTAGAAGGCGACGGCCGCGTCGACGTCCGCGGTCGCGTAAGAGACAGCCAAAGCCGTGAGCGCGGGCAGCTCGCGGAACTTGGACCCGACCAAATGGCCCGGCGGCGGCAGCGCCGCGGAGTAGCGCGGCAGGGGCCAGGTCTCCGTGACCGCCGCGGGCGCGTTCGCGGACACGAGCTCGACGACGACGAGCGAGTCCGGCACGGGCACGACGAGCGAGTAGGTGAAGGAGGTGCCGTCGGCGGCCGGCGCGCGCACGACTTTGTAGGAGACCCCCCCGCAGTCGAAGCGCGCCGCGTACGCGTCCAGGTCGTCCGCGTAGAGCGACGCGTGCGTCTCGAGCGCGTCGCTCGGCCCCGCGGCGGCCAGCGCGGCCCGCGCGGCGCCCGCGAAGGTCCGCTCGGCGCCGGCGACGTCGAAGCCGCCGCTCGGCCGCGCGGGCGCGGACACCGCGTGGAGCTGGAAGGCGGCGTCGCTGTGGTTGCCGAGGATGACCTTGCCCCAGGTCGCGCAGCCGCCGTCGACCCAGCTCTCGTTGCCGACGAGCCAGGGCGTCGTCGGCAGGTAGCCCAGGAGGAACGACGCGACGGCCACGGGGTCCGTCGCGGGCCACGTCATCTTCGTGGTCTGGCTGTGGCCGGAGCCGAAGGCCGCGGTGTGGTACGTCTCCGCCGCGAAGGACGTCGTCGCGGTGGTTCCGTCGCGGAGCAGCGCGACGCCGACGAGGGCCGCGGCGAGGGCCAGGGCCAGCGGCGCGAGGCGGCGCAGCATGGCGTCTTGTTCTTTCGGGGGCTGCTGTGGGCTGCCGATGACGACGCGCTCTGTGCAAGGATGAGTGTGCTTTTGACGATGTGGGCTGCCGACGACGCGGGCTGCCGACGCCGCGGGCTGCCGACGACGCGGGCTGCCGACGACGCCCGCCGACGATGCCGCACGCGAATATCGAGGCTGGCAGTGCCGCCACGCCCAGCTGGCTTCAAGAAGGCATGCTTCTTGAACAACATGCGTCGAGTTCACCATCGTCCTTCCCTTTTCCACAAAACAGCCGAGCCCGACATCGCGGCCAGCTCGCTCGCCTTCGCGTTGCAGCGCTCGTCAACAGCTCCACAGAGACAAGCCCGCAGCGCTCGTCAACAGCAAAGACAAGGCCGCAGCGCTCGTCAACCAACTCGCCAGCAGCGCTCGTCACACCACCTCCGCACACACAAGATGCCGGCGACCGTCATCGTCGCCAAGTGCGCCGCCGAGGTCCCCGTGGAGGCCGTCGGCGGCAAGCCCACGACGGTCTACTGGGACATCTGCGGCCTCGGCCAGTGCCCGCGCTACGCGCTCGAGCTCGCGGGCGTCGACTACGTCGACGTGCGCGTCGACGCCGGCGACGCGTCGGCGCCCGACTACAAGGCCATCTGGCTCCAGCAGGCCAAGCCCGGCACGACGGCCGCGGGCCTGCACTTTTCGAACCTGCCCTACTACCTCGACGCGGACGTGAAGCTCGCGCAGTCGAACGCGTGTTGCGCTACCTCGGCCGCAAGCACGGCCTCTACGGCGCCGCGGGCGCGGAGCACGTCGTCGACGTCGTCCTCGACCAGGCGACGGACCTCGACAACGCGATCACGGGGCCCTGCTACCGCGACTTCGCGGCGCTGAAGCCCTTCTTCCTCGACGTCCTGCCGGAAAAGCTCGACGCGTGGGCCGCGCGCCTCGGCGGCGGCCCCTACGTGACGGGCGCGTCGCTCTCCATCGGCGACCTGAAGATCTACGAGACGCTCCGCAAGCTCGCGCTCATCGAGAAGGCCCAGGGCACGGCCGTGCTCGCGCGCTACGCGTCCCTCGCGGCCTTCGTCGCCCGCGTCGACGTCGACCTGGGCACCTACCGCGCGTCGCCGGCCTTCCTCGAGCGGCCGCTGAACAACCCCCACGCGCAGTTTCGCTAAAGGCGGGTCTAAGGAGGTTGCGAAAAAAAAAGGCAAAGGCAGCTTCATGTTGAATGCAGGAGGCGCCCCAAAAAAAAATGCCAGACACCATGACGGATTTTTGGTGCCGGCGACCGGCGCCCACCCACCCACCTCCCGACCAATCAGCGAGCTCCTTTTTCGTTGGTTGCCTTCAAGTTGCCGCATCGCGCGCGCGGGACCGCGCGGCGCCGCGGTTCGACCGGGAGTCGCCGGTGCCGCTGCAGGAGCCGCCACCATGCAGCCGCGGGTCAGCCGACGAACGCCGGGCACTAGTGCCGGGCGCGGCCCGACTCGACGAGGACACCGCCGTGGCCCATGCACTTCCTCCCGGCTCCTGAGGCCTCTCCTGGCGCGGCGCGGGACGCGGGACTCCCGGGACGCGCGCGTTACAAGTACCCTTTAAGTACACTTCGGGTTTTTGAAACCCGACCCCCGGGCCCACCCACCCACCCCGCCATGGTGTCGGATCTTTTGGCTTCGGTGCCTCCTGTTGAATGTCACTTACCAATCGTCGGCCGGAACGCAACTTTAACTTATTGAACCTAGAAGTTTACTTTCGAAAAGTGGTTGGACGTCGTCGTATGATGGTCGCACGATCTCTGATGCTGGGTTTGGCATGTTCCAGGCCAGGGGGAGAGAAACTGAGCACACTTCGCAGTGGGAATCCGGGGTCGGGCATTCCAAAACTTCAGCCCGCTCGTCTCGGGAACACGCAGGAGCTGAGATCATTTTTCCCTCTCTCTCCCCCGCGCGCGAGGCGGTCCCCGCGGCGAGGTTCTGGGTGCTCGAACATACTACACTTTTCAGACCGCGCGCTCGTCGCCCCGATTCCGGCCGGCAGCCGAAAGAGTGTAGTATGTTCGCCCCCCCCGAACCCCAGACGCAGCCCCGCTCCGCCGACCAACCACATCGTCTCGAGCGAAAGACGACGTTTCAGCCGAGCGATACATCCCTCCCTCAGGCTTGCCCCTCGGGGCCCCCCCTTCACTCGCTCTTCGGGGCTCCGCCCTTCGGGGCGCCGGGGAAGCTGATCCTCCCCCCGTGGGCCTCCGGCCCCTGCTGGGGGGCAGCTGCCCCGCCTACTTCAACTTCTTCCGTCCGGGACCTATAGGCCGCGTGTGCTCTTGTGCATGCGGCTTCCCCGACGCTAAATACAAAATAATAATAATAATAATAATTTCACTGCAACTTGGTCCGTCGAATGTGGTTCAACTTTCGGCATTCTGCGGACGGGCCAGGCGGAGCAAAGCCAGCTTGTGTACCTCGACGATTCGCCTTGTCTCTACGTCGCCTGCAGCAGCCGGTCCACCATCGCCAGTCGGTGCCCGCAGCTCGCGCGCCGTGCCCGCCATGTTGTTGCAAGATAGACAGGACAGCAGCCGGTCGTCGCC